GTGTATGCACCTCTTATTCACTATCTTTCTAACACCAAACCAGACTGCTTCTACCACTTAGCAAAAAAAAGACACAACACATTGGTACCTCAATCTTGAGCTGTGACCAAGATCTGCTTTGTGAAGCTCAAGAGGAACGTGTGAACAGGTGGCTTCTTGACATTGGAGCCATTTAATGGCCTAATCCAATGTTGTAATTTAAGGAAATTTAGAGGTTTTCTAGATTGCATTAAGTGCCCATGGGCCCCATGGAAGAGGATCAGTAGATATAGGAGCCATAGCTATGTTCAAAACCGTGTTCCTTTGGTCATGTCCATATGTCAGTTGGCAAGGGCATGACATAGCTAGTTCAACAGCTCTATACCACCTGTTTCTATATCCTTTAGTGGCAGGATAAAGTGACTTGAGCACTGCTTTGCACAGTAAAGTAGTTCTGCCCAGTCAGTAAATTGGTCCTGCAGCATTTACAGATTAATTGTATGGCTTTTGCTCTTCCAGATAGGTGATAAATATCAAAGATAAACTTGCACCTGTAGCTGAATGCTGCTACCCTCCTGTTAGCACTTTAGATCTACAAAATCATTCTGATCACTCACCAAATGCTAACATTTACAACCAAATGAGCAGATGAGCAGATCCACAAAGGGGCATGTTGGATAGCACAGACATACAATTTCTCTGGTATGTTTCTGTGGAGTGGGGACCCAGGATTCATGTCTGCCTCCTGATCATTGTGCTCTCCAAGGAATAACTTTCCAAGTAAATATGGGCACAAGGAACTACATGCTAGTTCTTAGAACACTGCTTGTTAATTAACATGTTGACCTTTCTTTTAGTAAACACTTTCCTGTACCTCCCTAATTATTTTCCAGTGTGTAGTTCCTAATAAAATAGCAAATATATGTAACCTGACTGATATTAGAAGGTGAAGAATAGATCAATGGCAGAGATGTGAGCACACATAGTAAGGTGTTAGAAGGCCAACTGTTGAATTTTTGCTTAGAGTACATGGGAATGAAATACTTTATCTTTAATCCTATTTAAGTTCTAACATTTCCAAATGTTATTCTTCACTTCAGCTGTGGATAAGTACATACTCTTAGGGCACGTCTACATGTTACTGTATGGCTACAGTGCCATGCTTTAGTGCTGCCTTTTGGAAGTACTAAAGCATGGTGCAGCATGAGTGGCTACTGTGCCGTGCGCATGGCGCATGGTTAGATTTGGCTGCTACATTGCTGTAGTGGTGCGCTATACTGGGGGAGTGTGCTGCTACAGCGATATAGCTGGTGATCATGTGTAGACTCACATGATCACTACGTTGCCATAGGACACCATACAGTGAAGCACCACATTGCTATGTCACCATAGGGCGACATGTAGATGCACCCTTAGTCACTTGTGCAATGCTGTAAACAGTGTGCATTTCCCTCTGACCTTTCTAAGGGATCACTGGGATCCTAAAGCATGAGCTGTTATCATCCTTGTATCATCTTGGCTTGAATGGCTCCTAATAACAACAGCAATAAGAAAAACGGCACTTTGCTGTGCTTTAAAATATCCAGAATTGTTATAAATCCTGGGACAGTAAAATCTGATTACACACTGCACAAAGTGGAAGTTCCAAAGTAGCCAAGGATCTCTTTGGACTTGTATTCTGGGGCAGGATGAAAAAGAAATCTGACCTTTCAAAACTTTGAATTTAATCAATTTGTCCATACTTCTTTATCTTTTCAGTGTAAATAATCCAAGCAGAGGAGCTGGTATGAGTATGTTGTGCTGCAGGAAAATTGTTGACAAAACCAATTTACATCACATATGTGAATTTTATTGTAAAATAGGTGCAAACCCACCAAACCCCAACACAGCAGGTGCTTCTTGGATGCTCCATTTATCACTAACTCCAGTAAATTACCTGAAAAGGAGAAGAATAGAGAGGCCCAATACAGGAAAAGCCATGATCTTGGCAACACTGGTTTACTTTCTTCTACATTCTTAGGTGCAAAACTCACCTGATTATTACTCTGGGAGTGTACAGGAAGCCGTAAAAATGGTAAACTGTGATGAAGAAATAGTAAGGCTTAGTTTTCAAATACAAGGAAATATGAGAAACTGTGCTATAGTTTGCATAACCAGCTGTGTTGTGTGGTAATTATAGCAGGGATGGTTTATAGAACTAGTGAGTTACTGATTTTTTTTTTAAAGAAGAAGTTTGGTGTTTACTGAGAGGCTGCTCCAAACCCTCAGGGGGTTGTGAAAGAAGGTACAAAACAAGAAATGGGTGAAAAAGACAAAGGGAGAGAAGCTGAAGTGGAGCCAAGGAGTAGCTGGGTGTGTGAAAAAGCAAAAGAGAAGTCTGAGCAGTGCAGTTACTGAATGCTCTAAAAGTGAAGAGAAGGTTGAAGAGTAAGTATTGAAGAAGACAGTGTGATAAAGGAATAACTCAGAACCTTCATAGATTGCATGCCTACTTCCAAAGCACGCTTGTGGCATGATGCTTCCTTAAATCAGTACTTGTCTACTCTTAACAACACCCCCCAAAACATTAATCTCTGCAGGTGAACTAATACTTTTGCTCTTCATATTTTCTGTAATTTTATTTTTCAAATGACCATATTTGAAGGCATAGAAAATATATGAGGCAAAAATAAGTCACCTACAATAAAAATCATGCTTTATTATACGCTTTTTCTCTCATCTGGGTTTCACAATAATTGCGGAGGTACAAACGTGTCCATTCCTGAAATAAAAGCCCCACCCCATTCTCTTGCATGGTCCTCTGACTGCATGCTAGTTCCCAACCTACCACATTTTCCAAATGTGTCATGGAATCACTGTTGTCTCAGCATACAGAAACATATACCTTCCTTTAAATGCCAATTTTGTGAAGACAGCATGTGTGATAGTTGAGTTGGAGATGGATGTCTAGAAAATCCAAACCTCTTTTCCCAACATTCACTGAGAAATGGTGGGAAAGCCACTTTGTGGGTGGCTTTGGGTAATTTACATTACTTTTCCATTGCTCAGGTTTCCCTTCTACATAAAGGGTTCATTGATAACCATTTCTTTTCAAAGGCTTTGAGAGCATTGGGTAAAAGATGCCATGTAACAGCCACTCATTATTCATGGTCACTAGGGCAGTTGCCTCTCTACTCCTGTCTCCCTTAGTAGGGCCTGCATCACAGTGTTCTTGGCATTTCAGTCCAGAGCAGAGGTGTGCAATTATTTGGGCTGGAGAGCCACTTAGGGAGTTTTGGTGTGCTGTTACAGGCCTGGTTAGCACCCCTGGTCCCTCCCCGCTCCTGCAATAGCTCATCAAAACTCCTTAAGTGATAGATCACTAGATCTGGGAGCAGATCGCAACTCTGCCCTGTGTCCTGGCCCAATGCTGTTACTTCATGGTGGAGACCAGCCTAAGACTCCCTTGGGCAGGGCATACCTGGTCAGATGGATGGGATGGGGCAGGAGGAAGGGAGCAGCATCTGGGAGCAGGATGGGTGGGCAGGACTGGGATGGCATGGCAATGACAGTGCAAGGCCAGGTCCCTGGGCAGAGATACAATCCACTACCTCTGCGACCCTGCCCATGGAACAAATGCCCATTGCGGAGCGCTGTGGGCAGCAAATTGTGGCTCTGCCCCAGGCCTTCACCCTGTGCTGGCACTGCTCTGTGATCTTGACCCTAGCCCTGGCCCCAGCTGACCCTGGCCATCCTGGTCCCAGACGCTGCTCCCTGCCCACCGGCAGCCCCATCCCATCCGCCTGGTTGACCATGTCCTGCCTGTGTGGGTCCCGGGCTGCTCTCAAGGGAGGCCCTGTCCACCCACCCACTCCATCCAGAGCCCTGGCACCAGAGTTGGGCTGGGTCCAGCAGTGGTAGCCAAAAGGAGCCACTGCTGTGGGAGCTGCTGGGAAGTGGAGTCCAGCTGCCGCCCTGCCTTAGCCTCACTGCTCCCCTGGGGCGGTGGGACTGGGCACATGCCCCACAGCTTGGGCTGCCCCCTGGGCCTGGGCCAGGCAGGGCTGAGGCACCCAGCGTGGGCCAAGTAAAATCCCTTGGCAAGTTGGATCTGGCCCACAGGCTATGTTTTGCCCACCCTGGTCCAAGGCTGCTCTCTCTCCTTAGGGTTGCCAACCCTTCAGGATTGCCCTGGAGTCTCCAGGGATTAGATATTAATCTCCAGGTGGCTGCTGAGAGTCACCCAGGAGATAAATGATGGGGCAGTCATTAAAATGAATATGAAATGCTGAATGTGACTTATACAGTAGTCCAGCAGGTTTTTCAAATGTAATAGTAATGTGCATTTCCCTTCCTGACAAAGTCTGTGCCCCATAATTCATAACTAATATACCCAAGCACATGGGCACCCTTGCTGCGTGTTGCGGGCACACCGGCCTGCCCAAGACCTCCCGGAATAGAAGCAGAGTTGGCAATCCCCTCTCTCCTACGCTTCAGTTCCCTGGTGGGATTTCAGCCGCCGCCATAATGGCCTGGGCAGAGCCCTGCTAAAAGTTTCTGCTGTCAAGGGATCGGAGCCCCAGCCCAGCCTGACCCTGGAGGCTCACAGCAGACAGCCGGCGCTGCTTAGCCTGGAATATGACCCCCACCAGAGGCGAGTTCACACGGTGGGGCTGAAATGGCAACGAGCCTTCATTTGGAGCGCTCACTGCCGCGCTCCGTGTGGACACGCTACGGGTGGGGTTTAGATGACGGTTGCAGGGGATGGTCCCACTTGGCTGTGCTGGATGCGCCCCAGGACCCCGCCACCCCGGCCGCCCTGGGCCAGACACGCGCTCAGACTCGAACCGAGGGGAGTTGACACCAGGCTCTGCCCCGCCCCCCACTGGCAGCGGGCCTGTCCCCACCCCCAGCCCCTCCAGTTCGGAGCGGCCGCTGAGCGGCGCGGGGGGAGGAGCTTTGCCCCCTCTCGGCTCCCGTTGGGAGTCAACTATGGGCGGAAGCGGGGGGACTGGACAGGAGTCCTCCCCCTCCCCTTCTTCCCCCTCCCGCCGGGCCGCGTCACGTGCGGCCTGCGGACTATAAAACACTAGGGCGGCGGTGGGGGGAGGGGCAGGCGCTAGGCGGAGCGCGCGGGACTCACGCGGAGCCGGGAGCGGTGAGCGGCGGGGGGAGGCTGCAGCCAGAGGGGCCCGGTCCGGCTGGGGCGACAGGGTCTGCCCGTGGGGAGCGGGCAGGTAGGTAACATACACGTGTGACGCACACATATTTATAGCACCGGCTCTCCTGGGCTGTAGCTCATTTGATCAGCTGATCGCTTCATTATTGCTCAGCCTGACAAAGACAGCTGCTGGGCAGAGCTCCTGGGTACTTCAGTGGGCTGCTTCCGTACCGCGCTATGTACACACGCGCGCACACACGCTTTGATCACCCCCC